TCAAAATTTCAAAAAAAAAAAAAAGCATCACAAAGTTTGATATCTCTATGATAGCAAGTGGCTATTGAAGTAACTAATGACTTCTGGTAAAGATATTGGAAAGGATAAAACAAAGTATCAAGCATTCATGACAAAACTCCATAAGCTTCCATTGGCTTCCAAGTTCCAGCTATCCAAATATCAATCAGATCTGCCAAGAAGGAATCATATTAGAATTTAATAACATTTTGTGTAAATAGTAGAATGACAATCTTGTTAAATCACAGGTAACGCACCCGTAGTTTTTGCCACACTTCATTGCAAAATTGTAAGGAAATAGTAAAACATGAAATATAAACAAAGTCGTCAAGAACACATTCCCTACTCCTAAGTTTGAGCCACCATTAATAATACCTCTTGCCATTCAACTTTTTCTCAAACATTAATGTTGGATATATAAATAAAGAATAGAAAGCCAATAAACAGCAGATACATTTTGAGCCACCATCTTATTCGGATAAATACCTCCTGCCAACCAATTTTTTCTCAAACATGAATGCTAGGTAAACAAATAAAGAACAGAAAATCAAAAACAACATATGCATTTTAGCCTATAAATCATGTAGTTATATTTCATTCATGCCACATTTTTGCCAAGACAACATGAATGAACATAGGACATCAATTTAAACTAAAAGAAAATTTTCTCTTCTTTCTTAAAAAGCTCAATGATAGAACAAAGAGCTCCAAAAAATAAAGCAAAAGCTACAGAGAAATTTCAATATATTAGTTTGGTATTTGTTAAGAGTTTACTTTTTAAATCCTGAAACGCAATTTATTCTCTATGTAATTCTTAGATTTTAATTTTCTTTTTTACATAAAGGTGTTAGAAAATTCTAGTTGCCTAATTGAGAAAAGGTGGATACAAGAATTTGTTGCAGATACAGGAATTTGTATTTCACCCACCAGCAAAGAGGGAAAATTTGTTTTTTGCATAGAAAGAAGAGGGAATAGTTTTTTTTTTCTTTGATAGAAAGGATTGGAACACTCTTGACATGAGATAACTCCAGCAAGACATCTTCCCATCCATTAAATGCCAATCTCACAATTTATAATTTATTCATTATCTTGCTCAAAATAATCATTTATTTTTTAACCACATATACACATACATAAAAGAAAGCCTTGTTCCATTGTTTCCACTTGACTAGATGTTTAGCAAAAAAATAATAATAATTGAAGCACAAGATAAAAGAGACAAGAGAAAGAAACAAACATGAAAATGCTTACTTCTCTAGTTCTTAAATACCCAGGGAACCATAAGGAATACCCTTTGTGAGCTAGGAGTTTAACAAACATTTTGCATGGAAGAAAAGACGTGAAATTACTAAAAGGAAAAACCTACCAATAGTTGTTGTTCATTCTTCTTCTATCACATAACTGCCATTAAAACAAGAAGCGAGTTTTAGAATAGGGATAAAAATGGAAACTGTAAAAACAATTATTAAGTTAATAATCACTTCGTGAATAAAATAATGTCAGAACATCCATTAAAATCACAATCATTTAGTCTTCAATCTTCTTTATCATCTTCCACTTGAAGAAAGAAAATGAAAAACACAGCCATCTCTCCAAGTCCAACATAATCTACTAAAAAAATATATTGAAAAAGTCAGCTAAATCCTTACGAGAGAGATAAAAAAAGAAAAGAAAAGAAAACCATGACTTGCATTCCATATAGTGATTGAGAAGTTTAGAAAAATTTTTAGGAAAACAAACACAAAGACATAGCATGCTTTTTTTGTGAGGAAAAAACCACTACAGGTGTTGAACTAAGACCAGAGGTTATTCCATATAGTGATTGAGAGGTTATTCCATATAGTGATTGAGAAGTTTAGAAAAATTTTTAGGAAAACAAACACAAAGACATAGCATGCTTTTTTTGTGAGGAAAAAACCACTACAGGTGTTGAACTAAGACCAGAGGTTTTCTGGATTGTTATGAAATGAAGGGCTAAATGGATACCTGAACCCACTTGAAGTAACTGACTGTAACACCTTCGGAATTTGCCTATATGTCTGGGAGTATAACAACTCCCTTCTTTGTTAATATCTGTAAAGTAAAGCCAAGGTTAGTTAAGTTGCTTCCCTGCACATGTTATTTTTGCTTTGAAACACTATGCCTTTTGACCTCCATACTAACCTCATCTGCCTCTGGATTAGTAGGATGATTAGCTGCCTCGATTATAAATTTGGCTTTAATATCTTTTGCATTAATCATCTTCAAGCAAAAGATAATAGGTACTGCTAGTGTAACTCAAAATGTTGATCAATGATTAACTTGACAGGGAAGTTCCTGATTCCCAAAGGAGAAGTATATTCATCAAGTACTGAAAACCCAATGAAGAAAAGGGAACAGGAAGAACTGAAGCAAATAGAAAGACATTTTAAAGATCAAAAAATCTATTTTAAACAAGTGAATCTTTTTAGTTACCATATGGATTGCTTTTTCTGAGTAGGAGATCAACAAAACACCAGCACGAAAGACACAAGAAAATGACAAAAAGAAAACTCGAAAAGAGCAAATGCCAAAGAAAATGGCTAAAAAAAAAAGCATACCATTATTTTAGGTTTGAAGAGAGCAATATAAAGAAAAAAGTTAAATCAGAATAATAAAACAAAACTTATATTTTTCCCACAATAGTTGCCTTTCACGGGTGGTCATTTTTCCTCCCTGCTGCAGAAGAAATCCAAGAAAGGAAAAATTGAAAAAGAAAAATGGAACAAAAAAAATCAAGTAGGTACAAAAAATAAAGTAAATAAATATCTAAAAGCTAGTTAATAATTAATTATTCACCATCTCAGATCATATTAAAAGTTTTTCTTGGAACTAAAAATAAAAAACTGAAATGCAACAAATACATTAATCACAGAAAGAAAAGGGAAGAAAAATTACCATATATGTATTCTACAAATTCACATAGATAGTCGGGACGAAATATTGAACTTCCCTTTCTCGCTGTTTCTGAAAAGGACATGAAAGAGGAAGGAAAAATTGATTGTTTTTTGCCAAGAAGATGGCAGAAAAATAGAAAAAATTAGCTATAATTACTCGAGGGAGAGAGGAAGGGAGATGAAGAAGAACAAGAGGGAGAAATGGGAGAAATCGATAGAGGGAAGGGGGGGAGATTACCAGCCCCTTTTCTGCCTTGAGCCTATCGTCCAACAACTCTATCAGAAGAAAAAAATCTGGCCCCTAAAGAATTATAGAATGACAGGTTTTACAAACAAAGCAAGCAAAGGGGAAAATGTATAAACAACAGATTATCCCAAAACTATATGCAAGCAAAGGAAAAAGAAGAATTAAAAAAAATGCACAATATCATACAAAAATAAACTGCATTTGAATATGCAGTGAGCAAACAAAGAATGGAAGGTTGTTAGAAACAAATTTAAGAAAATAAAATGAAGCTTCCTAAATGCCAAAAGAATTCAGTTAAGATTTAAGAATATTATCGAATCAATTTGCCAAGCTGCCAAAAGAACGAGATAGCGCAAAATATTCTGCTAACGAGGCGAAGGAAAAATATGCATTTACATGTGAAAAGAAAAAAAATAAGAGCATGTGATTTATTTCAGGAACATTGATATGCTTTTTCTATTTTCTTCCTTAAACTGAGAGGGTTCAACAGGCATGAGAAACAATGTTAAAGAATACACCTTTTTTAGAAAATAACCTTATAGAATCTACCTCCGAAAGGGAAAAACAAGGCTTAGAAAACCGCATGAAGATGGTGGAGGAAATTTCCAGATTATGTACCTGCAACATCACAACATAATAAAAGGGAAAAAATTAGACAACTAATCTGGTAAATAATAGGAGGAAAAAAAACCAAAAGGCTAATAAAGATGCTTTAGAAAAAAGAAGTAAGAAGAGTTTTTGAAGTAAAAAAGATTCCAGCCAGTCTTTTGATTTTGTTTATGTCCATCAGAAAGGGAAAAAAATTGTAAATTATAGTAGGAAAAAAGAACTAAAAGACTAATAAAGATACTTTGGAAAAAATGAAGCAATGAGAGTATTTGAAGCAAAACAGTTCCAGCCAACTTTTTGATTTTGTTGTCGTCTATCAGAAAGAAATTCAAGAGAGAAAAGGTGCAGCTTTCTTTGTGATGCTATTACAGTATAAAAATGATACAAATCACTAATTTTGAAAAACAAAATTACAGAACACGGAGAGGCAAGCCAAATCAGGAGGTTCAGAAACCTTCAAGATTTCTCAAGCCTAGGGTTAGAGACCTTGTTTCAGGATTTCCTGACTCATTAGCAATTTTTATACCTCAGAAATCACATACCCACCTTCCCTATCATTTAAGAGTCCTCAATATCGTCAATATAAAAGAAAAAAATGCTTGTAGTAAGAAACCATTGATAATAACAACAGCAGGGCCTCATATGGTTCTACTTTGACCATCAAGTAAGATTACTTTCAAAATTTTTCAATACAAAAAAATTATACTTCAAGCATTTTAAACTACCAGTAATTTAAAGCAAATTATACTAAGATAAGGATATTTGCAGTAAAAAATTTTCATATTTTAAACTTAATTAATCAATAGTGGATTAAACAGATAAAAACGCACACTTTATATGTGTGTGTGAGAGAGAGAGAGAACCCTTGGGTATGATATTTTGGGAAACTTTCGTTTTGCTCTATTGGAACCATTCACTCCAAGCCTGCAAATTTTCTGTCAAATTCGCCTCTTAATTCTCCATCTATACCATAACAATAACAAATAAACAAATAAAAACACAATAAATCAATGTATACAAATACATAAAACGACACTCCATATTTTTCTGAAAGATCCTAGATCTCTTGGAGCATATTAGTTAAAACATCAAGACACGAGATGGGGTTCCAAAATTCTAACCTTCGGATTTATGCAAAATCTTGACGGTAAGGGCTTCTTTAGATCTCAAAATCTAACCTGAAAGCTCTTCCAACATATACATTCTAGAGAATTCCACTACCAGTTGCTGAAAAATCAGGCAGTAACTTAGGAAGGAAATAGAAAAACAAAAGAGACTCACTTTATAAAAAGGGAAAAAGTTACACAACCTTACTCTCATTGAGATGCTGGAGGCTGAAAGACATTTCCAATTTTTTGCACCTGCAACAGCAAAGGTATATAAAAATTTGACTGCTAAACCCCCCACAAAAAAAAGATCCAAATGGCTAGAGAGAGAAAGAAGAAGAGATTACAAACCCAAAAAAAATCCCAACCATCCTCCTTGTTGTAGTTGTTCTCAATCAAAATCGAAAAGAAAAGAAAAAAATGAAGAAGATGAGAGAAATGGGGGGATAATTGATGAAGAGGAAGATAAGGTAAAGAAAGACGATGATGGAAAAAATGAAAGAGAAAAAAACCGTTTCTTATTTTTTTCAAGCCAACAAAACTCCCAGCAATTGGAAGATGAAGAAAACCATCTTGGTCATTGTTGTTCTCAGGTGAAAGATGAAGAAGAAGAGAGAAAGTTGCTCTAAGAGGTTTAGAGAGTGACGGTCGATGAACAAAGAGGGAAAGAGGAGACTTTTGTTGCATCGAGCCCAACGCCCTATCAAATCCCACCAAAAAAAGCTGTTACGAAGAGAGAAAGTGGTTTAATTATCCCCAAAAAGCTGTCAAATTGTCAAGTCCAGGCAAACAACAAACAAAGAAATAAAAGGATTGCTAAATGTTTGAGCAAACAAAAGAATTCACGCGTAGGAATGAACGACCATCAATTGGAAATTCGCACGGGCCGGACGACCACCAATTAGCCAATACCAGCGTGCCACATCAGCAATTAGAATTCAATTGGAAACAGCGACATTCGCGCATAGACTAGATATGTTAAAAAGTTGCTTGAGGTAATGTACATAACAAATAATTTTATTGGTTAAATAATGTTCATTTCAAGTTTCACTAGATACTTATTAGTTGCTTCCCAAAGAAATATGTTCCTCCCATAATTTGCTTGATATGAAACTTGAAGTCCTGAAATCAAAAGATATCATCATTCCACTTTCTGTTTTGCTCAGAAACTATTAAGTAGAATGTTGTTTATTGACAGTTGATAGATACAAAAAAACTTATTTCTCAATTATCTCTTTATTTCACATACATTAAATTGTTACAGTATATTTTTCTACAAAAATTCTAGAAAATAGCAACCCAAACGGGCCCTTAAGGACACCAGTAGATGCTAGCTAGCTGGTATAAATTTAAGATTACCGCAATTTCCCAATGTCTTGTACAGCTTTTTCCCTAGCTAATGTAGGCACTTTCAAGGAACACATCAGACAATATTCGGATAAGATGAATGCATCCACTGACCCCTGAATGAGACTTTCTATTAGTACTCACAAGATGAACTACGAGCTTTTGTACAGTTGAGCCTCACAACAAATTTCATGTCAGGTTTTTCTAAGCTTACAATGGATGGCCTAAATAGGGCAGAATTTGGGCTTCCCTCTTCTACTATACTTCAGAAAGTGTGCACCCTTGTTCAATGTGACAATTGCCTGCATTTGGGTTAGGATTAATGTAACAATTATGATGCGTGAGACCCTAAGCTAAGTAATAATATATATATATTTTTTTTTGGTAATTCGAAACATGCCTCGACTCGAATCCTTAGAACCCGAGCCGGCACACCAAACCAGAGGAGTGCGCCACGGCCCCACGCAGTGATTCCAGGTGAGTCACAGGGGTTTAAATTCAGGGTAAGATTCGAATCCAAGACCTCAAGGGTCCTTAAGAGCTCGCCTACCGTTTAAGTAAAATAATGTTGAGTTCATGAAGTTTAAACTATGCAAATAGTGTAACTTAGAAAACAATTTGTCTTTTGCACATAATTGTACAATACTTGGATGGATGCAAACACAGAGGAAGTCGAGCTCAAACAATTGCTTAAGCAAGATTTTGCTGGTGGAGAGGATAATTAGCTACATCATAACATGAACAGAAAGAAAGGAAAAAGGGGTAGACAAAAGTAAAAGTCACTTGGACGTTTATTACCAGGAGTCATAGGAGCAGTAAATGCTTTACTGTTTTGATTTTACTTATCTCTACAAATGTCTAGACTTTTATGGATTTCCCTGCTAGCAAAACTATGCTGTTCATTTTGAACTTGTTTAACACCTGAGAAAAAGGAATAGGACTTTAACTACTTTGTTAAGAACATTCTGCCTATACCAATCTCAAGTAAAGCATCCTGTAACCTAAGCCATTATAAATAAGGCTTACTAGATTATAAAGTAGATTACACCTCAATTTTCCTACGCGTATCATGTCTTATTGCCTGAGATAAGAAGCAGTTTCTTGTGAACAGGATATTTCTATGGCTTGGACTTAGCCCTGGATGTCTAACTAATACATGTGCATGTGTTTCAGGACAGTTTCTTGCATCAGCTCAAATATTTTTATGAAGTACTTGAGTAACTCCGACATTCACACAAAGAAAATTCATTTTCACAGCAATCTAAACAAAGAGTTCCTTGTTTGAAAGTTGAACCTGTTCACACCACTGGCACTGGTGATCCATTTCTTGGCAGATTATTGAAGCCGATTGGCTTCTGACCTAAATCTTTATCAAGTAAGCTGACATATGTGTAGTTACATAAATGTCCAGTGCCATTTAATACTCTTTGCTTCTGAGACTTTAAGCTCAACATGGTTAAATTCATTAACCTATATTTCATCACTTTCCTCAAACCCTTCATTGTTATATTAGTTCAAAATGTAGATATTGTTGCCAGTGTCTTTTTAAGGTTTCAAATTGTCAAATCAAATTTAGATTCATTCACTGATGAGCTACAAACAACCTTGGAGAAATTCTATGATGCTCTATAATTGCCAACTATTAAGAATTAAATCGGTAAGGGTAGAGCAAAAACACATTTGGGATGAAATATTCTTCTTGAATATTCACAGCACGAGAATCAGTTGAGGAAGGCTTTATATTTTGCCAGTTCTTGCGGTATAATGGCCGTAACAAAAAATGGAGTTACCCCTGCCCTTCCAACAATTGAAGCTATCCTGCAACTTCTAACCAAGGTCACTGCATGAATAGAATATTATACAATTAGTGATTCTTATCTTGTTTCTTCTGCGTAGTTTGACTTGTATAAAGTAATTTGGTTCCACTGCTCCAGCTATTATAAGTTCCTCTTTATCTACTTTTCATAAACAATGATCTGCACTTCACCTGTCGTAGAAAAGTTGCTACTACGAAAGTTCTATCGGCTTCCCCATTCTCGTGGAGCAAGAGACATGGTAAATGCTGTTTCCTTTACATACTTGAATCAATCTACACATTGACAATACTAATTCTACTGCCAGATCTTGGCAAAGTGAGAGACCGTAAGAAAATACAGGAAATGTAACCTTCAAGGACAATACCACACCTTATTTTTCCAGCAAGCATTTCCTGGATTCCAAGGACAATCTATACTCCACAGCAAACATACTTATAACAACTGCTGCCCTTTCCTTTACACCTCATTTCATCATCATTCTGTCTCTTACATTCTGATCTGACAATATTATATCTTGTGCACAGCTGAAAAGCGTGAACACAAGGGCCATCCTGAAATCTAGGTATCAAAAGAAATTCCACAGCAACTAATGATTTTAGAACTAGGCAGCTCAATCAGTAAAAATTCAGGTAAGAAATTGACAAGATATTATCATTTGCCAACCTACACTTTTTATTCTACTCCTTCCGGCCCATAAAATTTGTTGTTTTTGGGTAAACTTGCAATTTATGTATAGTGATATTAGTAGGAAAGAGAATTTTCATTTTTCTTTTATATCCTTAGTGGCGGCCATCTTTTATGTGATGTATTGATAATTATGAGGAATAAGTGGCGGGCCACATGAAGGGTAGGGATAAAATTTCATTGAAAAAAAGTGGGTTGACTTCTCTAAGATGACAATTAATTTGGGACAAGAAAAAGTGACAAACATGAGAAATTTTATGGAACAGAGGGAGTAGTATTATAATAATAGTCACCTTCACTGATGCCATTACAAAACTCTTTCAAGCTGCTTTTCTACTTTGATAACAATGATTGACTTCTAAATAGCTTTCTTCTCTATGTGAAAATTACTTTATGTGATAATATACTTCTGTTAACACTTGTCCAGGCAGTCAACTATAACAAATAGCCTAACAGAAAACAATTACAAGCATTCCAAAACATACAGATACTACTGGGTTTTCCTTTAAGGATCAAATCTGCAGGCCAAAACTAATGCATGAGTTTTGATTCTGCATTTTGGAATTGTTCAATACTAGTTATTTTGAGCGTGCTCTTTTTTTTTTTTGGAAGCCTCTTATACTTGCATGTTTAGACTGATAAAATCTAATTCTTTACGTGTTTCAGGTTATTAAGAACAGGCGTGCACAGAGTTGCACATTAATAGAAGCTAGTGAATCTTCTCATTATCTTCTTTATGCTCCCTTTCTTCAGTTAGCTTGTATTTTGTCCTCACTAATACACATATTTTTGCTTGTTCTTGACTTAAAAACAACTACTGTTTTGAACAAGTTCAAGAAATATGCTAACAAACACTTTGTGGTTGAAGTTAGTATGCTGGTTTCTCATGAAAGGGGACATCTCAATGTGAATTGCAAAATGCACATCTAGAAATACTCATCACTGACTTTGATTTCCTTCTAATTTGTCATGAATGTTATTACCTCAGGGTACCAATGTTAAACACCATAAAGTTGGCGAAGCAAATGATTTCATGTTTATACACAATCCATGCCTTCTCTTCTCCAGCCTATTATCTTTTGTATCATAGTTATACTTTTACCTACACTATCATCAACCTAAGTCTAACTACACTTTCATTGCAGGATAAGCCAGTGTTATTGACACCCCTCAACAGTGTCTTAAGCATTGAAGGCTTCTCCACTAAATGGTTCCAGGTAATAATCAACACTTTTTGTTAAATAACCCCAATCAATATGTTACGTTTGACACAAATACTATAATTCTCTTCTATGTCCTAGGCACGTTGCATGCCTTCCTTGATCCTTATATTGCTAACAAGCTTTTCACTGAAGCCTGAGATAGTATCCACACTGAGCAAATTCCATTTCTAGCACCGCACAAACATCTAGTACAACACTTGAATTCAACTGTGGGCCAGATCAAACTAAAAGCTGTTCCAAAATAATCCTCTTTTCTAGAACATGAAAGACAGTAAGCAAAAATACCCTAAATGTGTTGAACAAGCATATTAGAGTTATTTTCT